CACATCAAAGCTGGGATCTTTGGAGGCTTTGTACATCAAAGTTATCCTTAATGCATTACTAGTCCCCTCAACCCCTTTGATGAGTGATAAGGGGGGGATGGAATAGTTTGTGTTTGAACACAAAACCCCTGAAAATGAGCTTCACACAGCAAAGCAGCTCCTTGCAGCTGTGGGATGCAGGTTGAGCAAACAGCTGCTAGAGCAGTGTCCTGTTCTGTTTTCAGGCTGTCTCCCAACACCATGGTGACGCCCCACAAGAAGAGCATGTTGGGCAACGGGAACTATGATGTGAACGTGATCATGGCAGCGCTTCAGACCAAAGGCTATGAGGCAGTTTGGTGGGACAAGCGCAGGTACTGAGGAGTTGTGCAATCCTGGACGTGGCTGCTGCTTGGCAAAATGAGAAAGACTGAAGTGAATCATAATCAGACACCAGAACATAATCTTCTCATTGTCTTGTTTTCTGTGCTCTTTCAGGGATGTGAACGTCATTGCCCTGTCCAATGTGATGGGCTTCATCATGAATCTGCCCTCCAGCCTCTGCTGGGGCCCCTTAAAGCTCCCCCTTAAGCGACAGCACTGGATCTGTGTCCGGGAGGTGGGAGGCACCTACTACAACCTCGACTCCAAGCTCAAGGTGCCAGAGTGGATTGGAGGTGAAAGTGAGCTCAGGTAGGATTTCCTCAAATCTTTCCCCATTGGAGGTGAGAAGTCTGTCCTTAAACAGTTAGTGATCGGAACATCTTTGTTTGACCTTCAGTAGCAAACATTTGAGAGTAATAAGGTTTTTGTGGCTCCACTTGGGTTTATACCTGGTTTGTGCAAAGCTAGGGAAATGCTTTTGGCAGTGGCAATCTCCATGAGCTCCAGAGAGCCTGATGTGGCCTCTCACATGTCTCACTCTGTCAGCAGTGGTGAAGGCAGAGGCCAAGTGTGGTATCAGTGCGTGACACCTGCCACAAGATGTGCTGTGCCCTGCCCCCTCCTCAAACACGAGAGTGTCAGCATTCCTTTGCCTCTTTAGTAGCAGTCTTTGTGTATGTTTCCAACAAAAGGCTTTCCAGGCTGACAGTGCAGCCTTATCCCTGACAGCAGTGAAAGCTGTTTGTTAGGAATCACCTTCCTGTGAGAGCACACACTGCCCTTCTGGCTTGACTTCCCTCCTCTCTTTAGTCTTAACATGAGAGAGTTGTCATAAATACCTCTTAAAGTCTCACCTGCCCTTGGTTGTTGTTTAGCTTCTGTTCCATGGAGTTATAAATCCTCCTGGCAGCTTTATTGTCTTGACTGGACTTGTTCTGAGACAGGAATTGCACATGTGCAGTATTTTCAAAGCCAACCATGCTCCTGAAGTCTTGGCAGAGGGAATGTCAGCCTTTTGTGAATTTCTGGGATAAAGTAACACACCGGGGGTTCTGGTGGATTTCATCCTGGGTGTGTTGTTCTTCAGCAGTAAGTAAGGGCTTTCTGTACTGGGAGTTTTGGAAATCTGGGCCTAAAGATACCAGAGAAAACATTGATTTGACTTCCATAGTTATTGGAAGTAATCCAAGTTTGGTGTTAGAGGTTTAGGGGCAGAAAGGTGCTAAAAACCCGTGTCCAGTGACCAGGTGGGGAACTGCTGCTGTGATCTGTGATAAGGACATCTAAATGATGTAGTGTTTGGTTTTTATCCTGGAAGTGTTCCTGATTTGTTAGAATAATTTAAAAATACAGAGAGATTATTGATCTTGGAAATCTGGAGAAACTGAACTTGGATTTAATTCTGTTTTTGCTACCTGAGAAAGTGACACCTCTATAGACTTATCTCTGTTGAGGTCAAGATAAGGTCTGTCTGATTCTGAGATAATTTTCCGGGTAGAAGTGTGTTGAGTCTTTTGGGGCAAGTTTAGTATTTGTTTGGGCTTTTTTTTCTGTCAGAAAATAACTAAAGACAGCATTTGTGAGGTTTTCTCCTGCTTCTTGTCACATCTGCATAGTTAGTTGCATTTAGCTGTTGTAGAGGATGACAAAGTTCTACATTCAGTAGTGCTTATTTCTGTTTCTCTTTATGACAGGAAATTTTTGAAACACCAGCTGAGAGGAAAGAACTGTGAACTCCTACTGGTGGTGCCAGAGGAGGTAGAAGCACATCAGACCTGGAGAGCTGACGTGTGACCTGGACCGACTCTGTCCTCCCACTACAGCTCTTCCCCTTTACCGAACTCCTGGCGTCCTAAAACCTGGATAATGGGTGCCCTGACCCTTCTCATCTGGAATTTCCTTTGTTAGGCTCTTCTCTTCCTTCCTTGGTGCAATAGGGCAATGGCACAGGACATTGGGGGTGGTGGGTGGGGTGGAACGGAGCGGAGGAAACTGGAAGCCAATCCCTTTAATGGCAAGGCAGATGAGCTGCGTGTCCTTTGGCCAGCTAGAAGCCATCCTGGTCTTTAAACTGGTTTGGAGGCAAGGAGAAACCTCTGGCCTCCCTTCCCCCACGTGTGATGGGACACTGCTTCCTCTGGGGCTTGCCAGGGAGGAGCAGGGGCCGAGCACACTGCTGCCTCTTCACAGGTCTCTCCCTCCAAACAAGTCGTGAAGGTGTGTGCAATTCCTAAGGGTCTCTCAGGACACTCAAAACACTAGGAATGGTACGGTGCTCAGCTTGTTAGGGCTGTTCGGTGCCAGGAATTAGGAAACAATAAAAACAGCATCATCTTCCAAGAAATTCTTTGAGTAGCTAGAGAATTCCTCCCCAGTGTCTCCAGGGATTGATATATGTGGTGAGCGGCTGTTTGGCAGCGTGTGGCTGGCTAAGGTGACGTGGAAACAGCAAGCACAGGCTGATTGAGGAGTATCAGGTTTCTGGACTGGAGAGAGGCCATAGTCTGCTTGGGTTTCTTTGTGCTACAATGAGAGTTTTGTTGTATGTTTTAACATCTCTATTGGGTTTTCTGCATGGTCACTCAGCAGTTTAGGGGCTGCTCAGAGAGCGGAGTAAAACTGAAGGGGTTTTGAGAGAAATCCAGTCCCTCTTCTTTTCCTCTTTCTAGAAGCCTAGCCCATAGCCACGAATGTGATGCAATGTCCCAAAAAGAGGGCAAGGTATAAAACAAGAATCAGCTGAGCTGACTTCGACAGCTCCTGCCCTTCCATAAAGCTGCAGAGGGTCCACCAGAACTTCTGCGCCTTAGAGACATCCTGGCTTGGTAGTGGAACCAACCTCTCCTTTAGCGTTGGCTGACAAACATTCCATGCATGGATGAACCCCATTTTCCTCCCATCCATGGGGAAGAGTGACTAGTCCTGGAGGTGCCAAGAGGGGTCCCCACCAGCTGTTTCCCAGTCACCTGGGCAAGCTGTGCCTCAGCCACGCCTTCCATAGGAGGAGGAGGAGATGCTGGATGTGGAACAGACTCTGTTATGTTTAGTGCTTCCTGCTGTTTGCTTCCTTGTTTCCCTGTGGGATGTCTCAGTGGAGCAGCAACCTCTGGGACCTGACAGAGCCGTGTCGTGCCCGAAAGTCTCATTGCTGATGTCTGAGCTGGTGAAAGGAGAGGTTGTAACTACCTTTTCTCAGTTGATTTTCTCCTCAGAGCTCTGCAAACACAGGAGCAGATGCTGGAAGCTGAGAGACCACCAAATGGCACCTTCCCAACGGAGGAGAGAGGCCGTAGGACGGGCCGATGCCGCTGGCTGCCCCGGACATCAGGCGAGCACTGCCCGCAGCCCTTTGAGCACAGCTCACACAGTCCAAGGGCAAATGGCTCTTCCCTTTGAAAAAGTCCTATTTCGTAACACATTCCAATGACCAATACCAGCTGGCAGAGTTTGTACACACTTCCCAGGCAGGATGTGCAGCCTGCAGGCATATTCTGCTCCTGACTTGAAGCCATTTCTTCAAGAGGGGAAAAACAACTAAATCTCAACAGCAACGTTTTCTGTGCTGATTGAAGCCGCACTTTGGAGAAAACCCCTGTTTGCATGGAAACTCGAAGCCAATGGATCAGTGCACAATATGCAAAGATGTTTTAAAATATTTTGGGGCTATTTTCCTCTCTCCTTGTGCATCAGCTCCTTTCCCATGGCGGGGAAACAGTGTGATCCAGCTGCTCAGGTAAAGGGAAAGTGTACGATCACACCCCTGTGGGAGGTGAGGCTGCTGTGCCCGAGGGTGGGTGAGCTGGTTCAGTCCCACTACTCTGGAGTGGGGAAGCCCCTCTTTGTTTTCTTGCTTGTTTTGGTTTTGTTAGAGCCTTGTCTTGGGTTTGTTTACAGAGATGTATTTTGTTTAACCAAATATTAAAAATGGGAAAAAAAAAAAAAACCTTTCCATATCAATGTCCTATCACTTCTGTATGTTCCACTGAATTGTTCTGTAACAAAGTATGTAAAGGATAAATAAATTCTTTGGTTATAAAACCACAACCTTTTGGTCACTGGTGCTGTGGAAGGATCACCTCCCTGAGGATTCCCTAAGTTTCCCCACCCCTCTGAAGGTGACAGAGCCATGTCAGTCCCTTCCCCACTGCCAGGCCATGGATGGAGTAGGAAAGGTCCCTGCCCACAAAGCCCCAATAGCTCTAAAATAACTGAGTCTCCCTCAAGGACATCTATTAAAACCACACTGCTCAGGTTGGGTTTATTTAACATTCAATACAAAAAAATAGGCAGCTGAGATCTGAAGTTCTACTTTATGAGGCAGAGAATCTGCGTGGACATAATTGCTCCACCCTGGCCTGCTGCTCCCTTGGCTCTCACACACACACACAGCTGCAGGGAAAGTGTTTCTGCAGACACATCTTCCCACAGGGTGTTTGCCATAGGGTATTGTCACCTGCATCCCTCCTTCCTTTGCTTCACCTGATGGGAATGTCATTCCTCCTCCTGCCACTGGTGTCCTTCAGCTCCGAGTCAGGCAAGAGAGCACTGGTTCTGTCTGCTGCTGACCTGTGCCCTGGGGTGGTTTTGTGCGGGGACAGGGGCAGGGAAGCTGGAAGAGGAGTTCCTCCAGTTCAAGTCTGTCCCTGGGTGTGGCATAGTGACTGGACGAAAGGAAATACTCATGATTTCTACAGGAGGGGGATGCAGACAGGAGCCGTCATCAGGTCCAGGGGGGAGCTTCCCCGCCTTATTATGAACAGGTCAATGTCTCAAAGGAGAGCCAAAAATAAAAACAAAAAAATGCCCTGACCCAACAAATCAACAGTTCAATAGATGATAATCACAAGCTCTTCCCACTTGGATGCGAATCCAACGCAACTTCCGTGGATCAGATTTTCCCAGAGAGCGGAGGGAGAGCCCCTGGCATTCCCCCCGAGAGCCCTGTGTTGGGTCCCAGCAGGATCTGAAAGGAGAACACTCAGTGAGGGGCTGTGAGGACACAGCACAGCTGCCACACTGCCCTGTCCTGCAGCTCCTCAGCTGGTACCTGCCCTGGGCACTGCCAAGGTCAGTGCCCAACCACAGCCTCTGAACACCCAGCCAGGGGGGCCGGGCCCTTCCTGCCTCACCTGTCGCTGCTGCAGCTGCTGCTGCTGCTCCATCTGCAGCTTCTCAGTCTCAAAGATGACAGGAAGAACCAGAATCATGAAGGAAGTGGTCCCGATCCACAGCGCTGCCCTAGAGAACCTAGGCAGGAGAAACCACATCAGGGTGAAGAATCAGAACCAGTTCTTTAGCCCCTTCTTACCGGCACGAGGCTTCTCCCGCGATTCTGCCCCTCGGACAAAAAGCCCTTCCCAAACCACTCCCACGCCCCAGGGTGACATCTAGTCCCCGCGCTCTCCACCCGGCT